CCGCCGCCGCCGCCGCCGCCGCCGCCGCCCGCGCTCTACTTCAGCGCCGGCGCCGTGGCCGTGGGCCGCTACCCGAAGCCGCTGGCCGAGCTGCCCGGCCGCACGCCCATCTTCTGGCCGGGCGTGATGCAGAGCCCGCCCTGGAGGGACGCGCGCCTCGCCTGCGCCCCCCGTGAGTAGCGCGCGCGCCCCGTCCCCGCGGCCGCTCCCGCCGCTTTAGCGACTTCCGCGCAAACTTTTCGCGAGGAGCACTTAAAAAAAAAAGAAAAAAAAATGCACCCTAAATATAGCAGATTTAGAGCCGCGGGACTGCGCTGCTTTAAGCTCCTCGCGAAGGGAACACGGTGTTAGTTCGTTAGCGGGGAGGGGGCAAAGCGGAGTAGGAAGCGGGGCCTCCGCGCCTCGCAGCGCCGCTTTGGGCTCGGCTTTGCTGATCCTGTCCTACGCGTTGCGCTGGCCGCGCTTTGGCTCCAGCTCCGTCCCCCCCGCAGCGTTAGAGCGGAGCCCTCCGGCGAGTCCAGACGCTTAACCTATATGTCCGCGCCTTCCCTTTCTCTCCCCCCCGCCCAGATCAAGGCTCAATTTTGCTGGATAAAGACGGCAAGCGAAAACATACGCGCCCCACTTTTTCTGGCCAGCAGATTTTCGCCCTGGAAAAGACTTTTGAGCAGACGAAATACTTAGCGGGGCCGGAGCGAGCCAGGCTGGCCTATTCGCTGGGCATGACCGAGAGCCAGGTCAAGGTGAGAGCTGCGGGGAGCGCTGCGGGACGGGGGCCCCCCAAAATGCCTGGACACCCCTCTCTGTAGGGACCTGCAAGGCGCTGCGATGTAAGCAAGGGGGCAAATGGGACAAGAAGCGAAAAAAAAAAAAAAAGGAGGTGCAATTAATATCGTTATGATTATTCCTCCCGCTACAATTAGTTATTACTATTGCTATTAGTATTACTATCGTTTTGTTGGCCCCCTTGTTCAAGCGGGCGCGGGTTGAGGGGCTTGCGGGTTGCTCCGGGCACCCGCATTCCCCATGGAAAAAAACCAAACCAAACCAAACAAAAAACAAAACAAAAAAGAAACAGGGCATATATATTAATGTGGCCTGCCCGGTGAATATACATCCTTCCCAATTTGCAGCGCCTTTGGGGAGAATAATAGATATATATAAATAGAGAGAAATGGGGCATTAGAGTGGGAGTCGAGGTAAAGGAGTAATTTTCATAAGGGGGCAGAATTAGAGCTTTTTTTCTCTCTCTCTTTTTTTAGTGTTTTTAGCTTTTCTGCCGTTGTTGTTGTTGCTTTTKGGGTTCTTTTCGGTGTGTTTTTGGGGGAGATTCCGTTTGATTTGGKTCAGGCGGGCCGCCTTAATGCTCGCTGTAGCTCCAGCGAACTTTACTGCGCCAGGAGGCGGGGGCGGTAGTTCGCATCGCATCGTGTTGCTTTATATATATATGTGTATATATTTAAAAAAAAATGGGGGGGTGAAGGAGAGAGGGGGATAAAAAAAAATAAGAGAGGAGGGAAGACGAAAATTTGCCTTGGAAAGGAAAAGAAAGGC